GGCCGGCCCGGTGGCGCACTTGGTAGAGTGCGGCGCTTGGGAGCATGGCGGCGCTCCTGCCAAGGGTTCGGATCCCATATAGAGACCGGCCGCTCACTGGTTGAGCACGGTGCGGGCGCGACACCGAGGTTTGCGATCCCGTTGCCAGTCACGAAAAAAGACAAAAAGGAAAAAAAAAAAAAGAGTGTGGAGGGGGATAGGGAGAAAGAACAGGATAGAACACAAAATATGATAGCTCATCACATGTCGTTAAGGTACATGTTATTTTTGAAACTTTTTTTGTGTGTGTAGGTACATACGTGTTGGATTATGATATGAAATGTACTTTGCACTGTGGATTGATGTGCAAGTTGTAAAATACTGTTTTAGGTGACATCATCTGTTACCAGGTAACCCTCTCCCCAGCCCCTCACTGCCGGCTCCCCACCCCCAACCTCAGTACAGTGGGAAGCTCAACACTAGGAGACGGATAAGCGCCTTTGGACCCCAATTGGGTTCCAAATATCTTGGGAGGAAAGGCCAGAGAAGGGGAATAAGGTTGGAGCAGCCCTAATGCCCTGGGACCCAGGGACACACAGCTGCAGGGAGAACAAAGACCCACCCCCTATTTCCCAAACAGCTATTTGCCCCAGAACTCTGGCCCTGGGGCAGCCAAGCCCAGTTGGGTCAGGAGCCCTAACCCGGGGGAAGGGGCTCCCAGGTGTGGCTGCCCACCCAGGGCGCTGGTCTCTAGCGTCAGCGTGACAATGCAGAATAGGTTGACGTTGGCATTGTAGACAGTGAACTCCACAAACACGGCTCTGGTCAGGGTGTCCAGCCAGGTGTTGTCAAAGAGGTACTGGAGAATCCTGTGGGAAAGAGGAGTTTTTGGAACATTTCCATCCTGAGGAGACTCCACGTCCCCTCAGTCCCTTGACAACGCCAGGGCTCACTGTCTAAATGTCTTCTTCTGCCTCCACTTTGCTCTCTGGGCCACTAGCCACCAGAGCTGCTCCTGGGAGTGGTCCCAGTTTGCTGACCCATGGGGTAATATCTTGGCTCCCGTGGTCTCCTGTCCATTAGAGCAGAGCTTCTCAGTGTGGGGTTCCCAGATCAGCAGCATCAGCCTCATCTACAAACTTGTTGGAAATGCAGATTCTCAGGCCTCACTCCAGCCCTGCTGAAACAGAAACTCTGGGGCAGGGGCTTGAGGATATGTGCTTTGATCAGCTGCTATGGGTTAAATGTGTCCCCCAAAAGTCCATATATTGGAAACTTGATCTCCATTGTAACAGTGTTAAGAGGGTGGGAAATCCAATTATGGTAT